TTTTTTTCCTTCAAATTCTAGTGCGCAGCTTCTCACGTTTACCTTTCTACAGGTAAGTCCTGATGCCGTAGCAAACTGCTTTCGAAAAGCTGGCTTCTGCCATGGCGAATCTACACAGGAGGAAACTGATATTGCTCCTCCAATGGAGAGCGACGACGCCTGGGAGGAAATCGCCTCTCAGTTGCAAGTGGGCTGTGAATTCACACAGTTCGTGAATATTGACGAGGACGTTCCCACGTGCGAGCCGCTTCCCAATCCTGCTATGTGTGCAGAAGCTCACGGAGTTATGGAGTTAGAAGATGCTGCCAATGAGGAGGAAATGGAAGAACAACCAGCCATACCCAAGTCACGGAATGTTATGGAAGCAGTGGAAACGATCAAGCTGCACCTTTATCATGCATGCCACGGAAATGAAAAAATGCTTAGAAAAATCTCGGACATAGAGAAATTCTTTCTGAAGCGGGCGACTTCAAGTCGGCAAACATGTATCCGAGATTACCTGCAGTCATGAGTGCCGTGTTCTGAAAGCCCAAATTTTTTCCCCCATGTTTTTATATGCTCTTAGTGACCAAGTGATTGTTGCTACTCTGGACACCCACGAAGGTTCTTGTGTTCTCTGCATGAAAGGGATAATAAAATATGTAAATGAGGCCATAAAACAGATAAAAAGTCCTTTAAATGGAGCTGTATGACCTCCTGTCCTGATATAACGAAAACTCGTTATAACGAAATAATTCCCGTGGCTTTATCGACTTCGTTATAACGGGAGTCGACTGTAGTTTCCTTTGTTTTGCTTACTCCAGGTAAGGCACTGACAAGCTTTCCAGCTCAGTGATGTTGAACGTTGGCAAGAATTGAGGAGTTCTCTAGAAAGAGGGCGTATGTGCCCATACATCCACACATACGCCCTTTTTCCAGAGAACTCCTCAATTAAGTGAAATTTGGCATTTCCCTAACAGATTATTTTAGTACAAAAGAACTGGAAAAAATAAAGACCTCTGCTCTTTATGGAGATTATTCTCTTTGTTAGGTTTCATTTGTGGCCCTGGGCATGCTGACCATGGTGATTCCATTTGTGGCATCATTCCCAGCCTTGATCTGCATTGCTTTGGTATTTGGATTGTTTGATGGAGGCCTCATCAGCTTGTTGGGGCCTATTGCATATGACATCTGCGGACCAGATGGAGTTTCTCAGGGGATCGGTTCAGTCCTTGCGCTCTGCTCCATACCTCTCATGGTTGGACCCCCTATAGCTGGTTAGTGAAACAATTACAGTGAGTGTATACCCATGCCATGAAACAACATTGGATTTAAAAATATAATATTTATGTTGGCTATATGAAAATGAGCCAAATATTCTTGACAATTATCAGCAAAGTTAATGGAAAAGATCCTTTGAAAAAAAAAGCAATTAACACAGTTCTTGTTTATATCCTCTCTCCCCTTTTTCACAACCTTACCTGTTTCATTGTTTGAGGAGTCTGCCTCAGTGAATTACTGTGGAGAAGCTCTTTATTATCCTTCAGAAGGCCTTAGATTTATCCAGATTTAAGTGACATTGTAGCCTCAAGGGTAAAATAATCTTTACCCCTGAGTCTTTAAATGAATTCTGACAATCAGCAAAGTGCATTGTATTCCATCGTTGTTGTTCTCAGGTGCCTTATATGAGATGTCGGGATCGTATGAGATGGCATTCCTTGTGGCAGGTGGGCCACCCTTAATTGGAGCTCTTGGTCTGGGTCTGATTCAGTGCATCAAGCAGAAGCCCACACTGCGAGCTTCCCAAACGGCTGAGACAACCATCTCTGCCCTTGATGACCCCTTGTATGCCCTTGACATCAGGGACTTGGGACCGCTTTCCACCCAGGTCCAGCAAATGCTTCCCTGAAACCAAACAAAACATGTGATAAATTGATTTCATTTTCAGAATCTTGGGGGTGTGGTGCTCTGTCATGGTACTTTTGATAATGACATTAATATCTTTATCAGTATGCATAAATCTAACTCTTTGAGTGAATAAATAAATTTCACTGTGTTTATTTTGAGGAACCCATCATTGCAATGCTGGTATGTGAGGAAATGAAGAGACTGATTCAAAAGATCTCTCATGGTTTCCTTGTGCTTTCATATTTCATAGTTTTTGTCACAGTGATATCCATTAAATCATTTATGTGTTTTTTGGAACAAATTCATGGTCATTACTGCAAACTCTGCAAGGTAACAACTAGGGAGCCTGAGTCAAGACTGTCGTTCTTCCCTAACCCTGATCCAGCATAAAGTTCAGTACCTGAAGAATTGCATCCACCCTGGAATAGGTACTTCTGATGGGCTATGTCTCCCTTGAACAGCTTGATGTCAGGTTAAATGCCCTTGAAAAACGAAGTCTACTATAGGGCATCAAGGAACCCTTTTCTCCTCCCCTTCAAAGAATACGACCTGATGGACGAAGTCAGTGTTTTCATTATATAACTTCTTTCAGCAAGGACTCATTCCAGTAATCAATCATTTGTATGCTGTCTCATTTATTGCATTAATGCTCTCATTACGTTCGGGTATGATTTCAGAAGTTTTTCAAACAAATCTGTTTGTTTTCGTATCATTCAACACAAATAGCACTTGGGCCATCAATACGCCTTTGTTGAAATGGTTTTCAGGAACCTCTTGCATCATCAATACTTTTCACCATGTTTCATCATGGTTCCAATATGCTTCCACACATTCAGATCTGGGGATCCATTACTTTTTTCAATAACATGCAGTGGCCAGAATCCACTATATTTCTACCCCACCATGGTTTGGGTGGCCACACATGGCCGGAGATTATTCATGGAGGAAAGACCCTTGTTATAGGTGCAAAAAAATCGATGGATCATAAATTTTGAAAAAAATGGGTTTGCATTTTTATAAAGGATTAGTTCTGGAAATATTCCCCACCCAACTCTGACCGATTGGATAGATGAAAAACAAGAGCTTCTTTACTGTGCATGTTGAAGGCAACGGCACATATTCTGTCGCACTCCCTGGTCTGTTCGCCATCACTGAACTTTCCAGCTGTTACTGGAATCAGATGGTTATCTGGTATCTGATTAGGGACATAAATCCTTTGTTAAATGCAGAATTCAAAGGTACTACTCTTTTATCATGGTTCAATGGCTAGGGAGGGGGGAGGGAGAAAAAATTGACACCCTGTAAAGACAGTAGGATAGTGGACATGTGATTGGAAACCTAATATACATCTGTGTTGTGGCGACGGTCACAGAGTAGTAGTGATGAGATATATTCTTATACATTTTATGGTGCAATTTTATTGGATGAGGAAGCATCTGGATATATAAGGCATGTTTAGTGTTTACAATATTACGGTACTTTGAAACCTTTGGAATAGAATCCCTTCATGTTTAATCCTTTGGCGAGAAAATTCATGCTTACCCAAAATTTCACTGAACTCTTTGAAGAAGCCCATGACCACACTGTTATCACAGTACTGCCTCAGTGCCCTGTCAGGATCCTCCTGGAACTCTTGTAAAACTTGGTTGAAACTCGGATTCCCCAGCAGATCTCGGACAGAGTCATTGCTGTTCACGCTTTGCAGAAGATCCTGGTTTAACCAATTGGGCTGTTCCACTTGGAGCCTCTCTCGAAATTCTTG